GGCTAGCGGCAAGCATGAATCAAAGCATTCATGAGGTTTCATGAGAACATCGCTTTTTCCGCGGTTCTGCAAGGTACCGTCATAGCATGACAGGGCGCAGAAGGCAGCAGACGAGGCAGCTACTGCCACACATTCTCAGATATATGTCGCGTATCGCATGTCATGATCTCGTGTGGTCGACGACATGCCAGACAGGCTGCCGCTGCTGCCGAAGCGTCCGTGCTACGAGAGCAGGTCAAGCAGCTTGAGGCCTTGAAACAATGTGTAGAGACTGTGAAGACGGTGGCAGCAACGTGTTGGCAGCATAGTCTTCGCAGCTCCAGAAGAGGTTCAGAGAGTTTGATGGGTTTGATGCCAGAGTCCTCAGTGTCGCCATTTGGCCTAGCGGCTACACTTCCGAAGAATTCTGAAGGACGCCGGCTAGCGGCAAGCATGAATCAAAGCATTCATGAGGTTTCATGAGAACATCGCTTTTTCCGCGGTTCTGCAAGGTAGCGTCACAGCAGGACAGCACGCAGAAGGCAGCAGACGAGGCAGCTACTGCCACACATTCTCAGATATATGTCGGGCATCGCATGTCATGATCTCGTGTGGTCGACGACATGCCAGACAGGCTGCCGCTGCTGCCGAAGCGTCCGCGCTGCGAGAGCAGGTCAAGCAGCTTGAGGCCGGTGTCAGCATGGTGTTGGCATCGCCTTGTGAGCTCTAACTTAGCTACTCGTATTATCTCCGTATAGGCCGGAGTGCTTCATTGTTCATGGAGGCTTACGGCAAGAGGCAAAGCTTGACATGTAACGGAACGCTGGTCTTCTTCAGGTGGCCCGGGCGGCATCTGCTCAGGAGGCGGAAAGAAGCGAGGCTCACTGTGCCGGCCTGCACAAGACACTGCTGGACTCTGAAGCGGCTTCGGAGAATCTGCGCCAGAAGCTTCTCCACTGGGAGGAGTCCACAGACTCGCCAGAGGGCGGCCTCGAGGCCTTGAATCTGAGGCACGTTCAAGCCTCTACTGGGCACCTGGAGAAGCTCAGTGTCGACCTTCGCGCACACTTGCGACGGGCAGGCGAGTCTTCTGCAGACCAGGAGGCATCAGTACACGACTTCGGCGTGAGGCTTCGGAGTGTCCAGGCCGCCGCAGCCGGCAAAGACGAGCAGGCAGCAGAGATTTGGGCCCAGTTGAGGCACGTCGAGGCAAATTCCGAGTCCCAGAAGTTGCCGGAGACCTTGATTGCAAAGTTGCGCGAGGTTGTGCCAGACAGCGGTAGCGGAGGAAGCAAAGAGGAAGCCTTTCAAGTGAGGTTGAAACACGTTGAGGCCGCGGCGGTAGAGACGAAAGCGGCATCAGAGAAGCTCCAAGTTCAACTGAGGCATGCGGAGGCTTCCTCAGCCCACTTGGAGGATGAAGTCCAGACGCTTCGCGTGAGACTGCGGCACGTGCCGTCGCGAGAGAACGCAGCTGTCCAGACAGAGCAGTCTAGTGCAGCACACAAGGCTCGCAAAACTGTGCTTTTTGGCACAGAGGAAAAGCAGTCGCTACCTGGAAGTGTTGTTTCCGAGCAGCCCGAGGAAGAGGAATCGGACGAAGACAAGCCTGCCAAGCGCAGGGATAAATCCCGCATGAAGTCGGTGGATTTCCAAAGGGCAGGATCAGCCGTGTCCTATGTCCTGGAGTCCGAAGAAGAGCGGTCTGCAAGTGACAGAGATGAGCCGATGACCGGCAGAATGTCTACAATGTCGCAGCACACCTGCAAACAGCATGGCTTTCGTTCCGCTATTCATGCCTGCAGCTCTGCGTAGAGGTCAAGCTTGCTTTGCAAGCATTGGAGATTTCTGCGCCTTAGAACAGCTGAAGTCATGTGAGCTCATGTGGAATCGCTTCATTGCGTTTCAGCAACTGGTGGCTCAATGCTGTCAGCTTGCATCTCTGCTGTCGGTAGATCTGAGGAGCTTGAGTTCGGTGAAAGGCCCCTCGCCCTAGACTCCCGTCGCCTGCCGAGTCGAAGGGCACCTCTCACCTCAGACTCACCTCTCTCCTGCTCTCAGAGAGGCCCCTTAGCCTCTGAGTATGTGCTGCCATGCGAGCCCTGCATTCAGGCAAGTTTCTGCGGTGTCTGAGTACTATGACACTTACAACGAGACCTCGCAGCCTTGCAAAAGGAGAAGTCCCGGGCCCAAGTCTAAACAACGTAGGGTAGGCGGTAGGACCGGTAGGATGCAGTCTCCGCAGCAGCTTCGAGGAGGAGTCGTGGTCGCTCCACCTTGGAGACCTACGACGAAGAGGACCTCTGGGATCCGGAGCACGTCGCCGGGGGCCCAGCTGCACCCAAAGCACCAAAGCCCGTGAGAGTTTGGCATCTTCTAGGCTTTTCTGGAGCACAGCCAAGGCCCGGATCACCCGGAAGCTCTTCCTGAAGCATGACAAGGACGGGACGGGCCGCATCGAGTGGTCCTCTGGCGAGGCCATCAAGTTCCTGGAGGAGTTCTTCTGGTTACACAAGCAGCCGCCTCCGAAGATCCCGAAGCCCGCCTTTCACAGCCTCTACACGCAGGTAAAGATGGACAGCAAGCCCTCAGGCTTCACGGATGAGGACATCGACGCTACGGGGCTCAACGTGGAGGAGATGACAGCCTTCGCATCCAAGGTCCACCAATTCGTGTACAAACAGTCCCTCAGCAGTCATCTTGCACGGAGAGTGGGCCGACGCCTTGTCGGGGTTCGATGGGCCTCACTGGAGCCTTGCAATACCCAAGGCTGGGCAAAGAGATGAGGGCACAGCGCAAGAGCTTCGCCATCAGCACGGGCGACACAGAAGTGTTAAAGCAGCTCTCGAAGCAGGCCCCTTCGGAATCGTGGGCGCAGAAGTGGGCAAACTCTGGTGCTGCAAGCTTTTTGACCAGGAGGCCGCCCATGATTCCAGCCGGCGCCAAACGCATCGCCGAGCCACACTAGGTGGGGTCAAGTTGCAGGAGCCTGTTGCGGGGAGTATCAGAAGCCGCCCGTCCGTACTGGAGAGTGCATGGCGAAGTCTTTTGCAAGGACCTGGCCACGGCTGATGCCGAGGCGGAGGCCGGTTTCGCCCAAGCGGGTAGCTCCGGGCAGAGTCATTCGTGCGGTTTTCTTTTCTTCCTTTTGCAGGAAGAGGCGGCGGCTTCCAAGCAGCGCCTGACCCAGCGCCGGGCGACTCTTGGCGGAGCTCGGCTGCAGGACACGTGAGCAGTGCTTAGTGCCTGCACGCGTGCACGCAACGGGCTCGGCTGTTTGTGCCCCTGCAAAAGAGCCAAGGAGCCAAGGGAGGGTTCAAGCAACAACAAAAAGATCTGCAACAAATAAACGACATCAGCAACGAACATATGTTTCTGCACAAAGAGCCAGCGTCTCCTAGTTTAACAAGAGCGACTGTTGGTGCAGCAGCAGCAGCAGGTGCAGCTACAGTGGCCCATACTTCGAGAGAAGAGCTCAAGCCAAACATCACCTCCGGATGGCAGGGGACCCTCGTAGCAAAGACGACGGCAAAGCTGTTGTGCCGGATTGGGGCGGTCTAAACTCTTGATGTCATTGAAGGCCGGGGTTGGCTTCAAAGCTTTCGATGTTCCGAGCGTAGCACTGCAATTTCGTGTTGATTCGGGTTGCCTTGGGGTCAAGGTCGCAGGACATGCATGGGCTTCTAGAGAGCATGCAAGCGGTGCTCGCTTGTCGTTCTTCCACGCCGTACCTGCCCTGTGGCGGCCGGGTGCTTCCAATGCGTCATACCTTCGGAAGTCAAGCACCTTGATCCTTGTAGGACGCGGCGGCCCTCGGTGGCACTGAAGATGGTGAGGCCTGCGTTGATTCTGTTGAGTGAGTGCAAAGTTTGAAGCATCGTCGAGAGCGAAAGTTGATAGGAAGCGTCAGAGGAGAACTGGACCTTGCGTGCACTCACGATTGGAGAACTGCAAACCGTAGAAGATCGGCAGAGGCATCGGGTATGAGTGGACTGTTCGGTGAGCTCTCCACACCTGAGGCTCTTGTTGAACCGGGCAGCTATGTGCTAGAGTTTGTCCCGGAACCTGGTCCCTCCTTGGAGGACCAGGAGAATGCTATGCCCAAGCGCGACAAGATCGTCCAGATCTGCCAATCCGATGAAATGTTCACCTCGTCATCAGCGAAAAGGCCATCAGCGGCGGGCTAAAAGTGTCAGAGCAGCTGAGGATGTGGCAAGACAGAATGCGCATCCTCAAGAAGCCTCCCTGGATCTTCGCCCCGCTGAACTTGGTGCGGACCGAGCAGGGCACGACTTGGGCAGAAGCAATGACTGCTAGCCCTGTCATGGGCACGGACGGCCTGCTGACAATAGTTCTGGGAGAGGGAGCCAACTACCGCATCCTGCCCCAGATCACGGGCTTCTTCGGCATCATCAGCTCTCTGTTCAAGCGTCTTTGGGACCAGGCCGAGATGCACGCCACTCTCGAAACCGACGACAACTTTGAAATCGTGGCGTCCACTATTAAGGCCATTTATGACCAAACATGCAGGTCGTGTGGACTTATTAACAGGCTCATCATCTACATGCCGGCTGAGGGGAAGCAGGTCCGCAAGATGCGCATTGATCACAGGGTGGGCGACACGCCGGCCAAGCAGAAGCTGCTGCGCCCTGACAAAAGGCATTCAGAAGCCCTTGGCCCGGTCTCTGACAAGAGACAAAAGGACGAGGCGGCTCGCTCCCGTCCGCAGTGGGATGATCGCTCATGGTGGCAATCATCCGATTGGACCTCCTCGTCGAGCTCCTGGCAATGGTAGAATAATGCAGTCAGCCAGGGGCCTCGGGCTGAGAAAGCGGGGCCTCGGGCCAAGTCAAGTCAAGACAAGTCCTGTCTAGGCGGTTTTTCTTTGTCAGTTGCACCGGTGGCTCGGCCAACCTTTCTAGCCACTCTGTGCCTGCTCTTCCGGAGGTGCACGCACTAGCCCGCCAGTGCTAAAAGCTCGCTTTGCAATTTCAGCTGTGCCCAGTGGCTGCTGATCATCGGTCATCTGCTGCAGCCATGTCGCAGTTACGCAGGTACTTTCTGAGAGGCCCCCTTTCGATGTACATACACTGAGCGGCCGCAGCTAGTACCTAACTGTAGGCCATGCTGTCTTGAGTAGAAGGTCAGTGGTTTCACGAGAGAGTGCTAAGGCGGTAATTGCCCGCCAACTGCTGAACCCGCTCGCGCCGCGTCCAATTGCAATTGCTAGAGTTTGTAGTCTGTCAGTATACCAGAAATAGAAAAGCGTTTCAAAACGGCTCATGTACTTATGCAAGCAAGGAAGGCTGGCACGTGTTCGCCTCGGGTCGATTGGAAGCTTGCTTTTGCTGTGAGGATTGCATGAGGCCCCTTTTCCGGGCATGGTTGACAAAGGGGCCGGAAAATCAGCAGTTTGTAGCTTGGAAATCTTTCGCTAAGTGCAGGGTCATAGAGCTTATGTTAGTGAGGCTTCCGACTCATGTTTTGCTGGCATGTGCCGGTTGTCGCTGTCTACACAGCAGGTGCCCTTCCAGCGACTGGCACAGCGCCGCGCCACACGCGTCGGGGTGAACTTGCAGGACAGTTGTGCTGGAGTTCGTGAGACGTGAGCGCATGGTGGCAAAGTATGGAAGTACTATATGACTATGACTATATCATGTTGCATCACATTAAATATTCTATTATAATCCATTATAGGTTGTTATAGTATATTGTACTAGATACAGTGTAGATCCCTTCACACTGCCTGCGAGGAGATGATGGCAGCGGAAGACGGCGGCCAAGGCGGGAGATGAAGGATGGGACTTTCGGAACGCGGGGGCCAAAGGCCAGTCGCTAGCTATCAGCGCTACACTTCACACAAGGAGCAACAATCAGAGCCGAGTGATCCTGCTGTTCAGGAAGTGATCGTGAATGATCGTGAAGTTCGGAAGCCTGATGCCGAGCCAACTTTTGGGGAGACTTGGGCCTGAGTACGCAATGTCGTGATGTGAATCATGACGCGGAGTACCTAATGACGTAAGGTCATGTAAGGTCTATAGAACGGGCGCTCTGAGCTTTCCCCCAGTAGTTTGACGCCCAGGGGCGTCTGTCCAGTTGCTAAGCAACTTTGTTAATGCCCTTCAGAGCAGCCGGCAACGGCCGAATGTCAGACGACAGCTTGGGTTTGTTTGCCAGCGCTCTTCTCATCTTGAGGCCACGGATCAGCAAAGATGATGCCGCCAAAGAAGGGCCTGCATTCTCGACGAAGGTTCAAGCATCAGAGCCAGATTGAATCGACGATCAATTCACTTGAAGCCATCATGCAGAATGTGGCCCTTTCTTGGCTCGCCGAGCGCCCCAAATTGAGCATGGCTCCTCACTGGTTCTGCCAGGGAGGGCTGATGTTGCCTCCTCGGCTGAGGGAGCTCCAGACGTAAACGCAAACGCTGAAGCTGCAGCTGAATCAGCTGCAGCCACGATTCCCTGCGTCAGTGCAGACTTACAAAAGTGGCCTCCGTGATCTGCCATCCAACGCCGATTGCCACAGATTGATCTGCCACCGCTGGCCGCTGCTGAATACTCTTAGTGCCAGGCTCCACCTGGCCGTGCCAAGACCCTGAGACGCGGTGGCCCAGCACGATTTCCAGGTTTTGGTTTCTGAGCGTGACGCGTCGCCGTTGCATGCCGTCGCAATATGCAGCCCTTTTGCTCCTGGACATGGAGTGCACGCACATGTCATGCATAGGCGCGATAAGCATTCGGGGCGAACGCCGGGTGTTTAAGTGGGTGTCTAAAGCACTGTTCAGAGCTCCTTCGAGTTGGGCATGGAAGGGCATCATACGTGTTGCTGACCACATGAGCGCTCGAAAGCACAGTTGAGGAGAGCAGGTCAAGCGGTTCTGTGGACCCAAGCACGCTTGCAGAGTGAGAAGATCTGCTGCTGTGCTTCAGCGTAAGATGGCGCCGCCCGGCACGGTGGCCAAGTCGTCTGCAATCCACACAGAACCAGAGGATCCTGCGCCCTCCCACCTCTCCTCAGCAGTTGAGGTGCTGCGCATCCGAATCTCACCGTGGGCGGTCTGCTGGCTGCAGGAGGCCTGTGTTCATCAGCGCTTGCAGGGCCAATCTTTGCTTTCACGGCCGTGACGTGAATGCTATTGTCCTCATTCTGCAGCCCGTTTGACCGCTTGAAAATGGAGGCTGATCACCTACGTCGAAATTACAGCAAGTCTGGTGGCTTTTTCTATCCGAGCCTTGCATGCCAATCGCAAGCAAGATAGTGGAGTGTAGCGTTCGGCCCGACGATACGGCTGCTACAGTAGAACAGCTGCGATGAGACACATTACTCGGGTCATCGCAGTTTTCTATTGCGATTTGCTTGCCTGGCGGAATGATGCCATGGTTACTCGACTGTCTTGGGCGCTCAGTGACGACCTGAGATGCCTGGGGCTTGTGAAGCTGCACCCACAGCACCTTACCATGAGGCCTGCTCCTCGCCTTGGCGAAGGAGGAGGCTCTTATGGTACTGCGTGCCTTTACATAGAGCACACACATTCACTTCACGCAGGCTTCCCCATCCGCTGATTCACAGATCAGTGGTGCCGGCTGCCCGCCCGAGTCCCAGGCTGATACATCGCGCTGCTTTTTCAGGCGCATCGTGGTGATTGTGCTGCATGTGGTGTCCTTGCGAGGTACTTCCACCAGACCGCGTGTGCAGCCGAGCCGTTCAAGACCTTCCTGCAGGTAGGTTGTTCTGGTAGCCAGGCAGTCTCAGTGGAGTGGCTTTTCACTAAGAACTTCGAATCTGTGTTGGTAGCAGGATGTTACAGGCTAGTTGGAGTCAGAGCCGTGCAGACTGCAGGCCATGCTTGCGACATGCTAGGTAGGGGGGAAGGCTAGGTGGAATTCAGAATTCTCAGGCTTGGCAAATGCTTGAAAGCTTGACCAGGAGTGGCAGGAGAAGGCGACGGAGCCGAGCTCCGTGTCTGTATCCGATCTCCAAAGACACCTGCTTCACATGATTGATGCTGCGCATGCAGACAAACGAAGCTGTGGACATGAGCCAGTCTGATACCAGCTCAGTTGTGCGCTCAGACGATACATGTTTTGTTGAACAGACCCGGTGCTGGCTTTGCGACAACCGCCAGCCGTGCTCTTATGTCTCTGTCAAAGATCTCTTGACAAACATGTCTGGCAAAGATATTCGTGTTTGCTTGCCACGTCAAGGCTTGTGACCCGGGCGCGCAGCGTACTACAGGAGCACATGCCTGCGTTTCTTGTGCTCTAAGGCAAACTCCGTTCCTAGACAGTGTTCTCTCCAGATGTGAACCGCAGAATCGGGACCTTGGGACCCCAACCCCGATGAGCAGATGTCCTGCATTCATTGCGAGGACCTTCTCTACATCCAGCGCCCTGAGCTTCCCCAGGTTGGCCAGGACCGATGGAAGCAACGAAAGCCTGTCCGGGAATCCTTCGAACCGATGAATTAACAAATACTAAGGTGGGAAACTTGCGAGCGGCCTGTGCGGTATTGTGTTCGATACTTCCAGCAGGAGGGGAGCTTGCACCCAGAATGGAAGGAGCCCGGGACCGAGGTTTGCCCAACTTAAATCGATGTTTGTTTTTTCGGAGATGCTACACTTAGGACCTGCGTCGCAGCATGGATTCTGGCTCTCTTTGCATCGACGCGAAGTCAGGCGACATTTACTTGGGTGCCATGTGATCAGATGCTCCAGCCTGCAGGCCGTACAGCCTTGGTCCTTCTACGAGATCGGCCCGGGGCTTCTGTTATCCGTTGCTTTCTGAGAACTGCGCGAAGACTGGAAGCGCTTCTGGTGCTTCCTTGGTTCGTGCCGGTCTGTCGCTCTGCAAGGGTTGTCACTGATCATGGGCTGTGCCTTCGAAGAGGCCGGGAGAATGCACTTGCAAGCTTGTGATTGAGATCTAACGTTCACTAGCTTGAGGCGACCTTCTTCGAACTCTATGGCATCACCCCTTCCCAGGCCAAGTCGTGGCGGTTGCGTCTCAAGGTTCCTCCCTCCTCCGCTCCAGGTGGCATACAACTTTTACGTCCTGGGACTTCCGTACCACCGTCCTAACCCAGTCTTACACATCCAGGCTGTGGCTGCGCAGCGCCCATGCAAAGCTCCACGATTCTCTTTTTTGATGAGAGGAAGCCGAGTTGGGGACTGCTGAAAGGCTGCGCAAACCTGAGGACCGGGCAAAGTCCGGGTTTTTCAATCTCAACTCGGCTTTTGCCGAGGATGCCCCGCTGGTCATCGACATAGGCTCGCAGCCGTGGAGAGGGACTCTGTGCCTGTGGGACCGGAGAGATTCGGGGAGGCATGGGCTTGGGAGCTGATTCGCAAGCAGCTGAGATGCTTTTTCTGTTGGCCCTCCAAGGCCTGGCTGTGTGAGCCCAGGCGCTACTTCCTGTCCCAGGGCTTTCGTGTTGTTGCCGTGGAAGCGAACAGACGCGCCATCGAGGCAGGACGCACTCAAGGCAGGTGTGGTAACAGCAGGACATGCCAGTTTCTTACGAGAAGGTGGCCATGACAATTGACTGGGTGAAGCAGTTGCCCCAGAGCCTGCTAGGGACAGGCCTGCGTTCACGCACAGGTATGCAAGTCGCTTGTCGCGGCTGAGGCCTTTGGTCCTGGAGGGGCAGCTCGTTTTTCTTCATGCTGAGCGGTCCTCGGAAGATCCTGTGTCGAGTGTGTATGCTCGGTCTCCAGCTTGGAGCTGTCATGGTCGCTGCCGCTATGGCTAAAGGGGGAGCATGAAGTTTTCTTGCAATGAAGGGCTTGGGAGCTGATGCTCATGATGCTAGCCTGCCCGATTGCCATATCATGCAATAAATGGCTGAGCTGGCCCGCTGGAATGTACTGGAATGAAAGATCGAAACTCTTGGGAGCTGATGCTCATGACGCTGGCGCGCTCGATTGGATGCAATGAAAGGCT